GGGAGACAAAGAAGTCGTGGATGGCGGTGAGTTTGTTGCAAACCGATCGGGTGTTCAGGAGTGCACACGAAACCGAGGGGTAATTTTGGGGGAGCAGGGGGACAGGTATTAGGTTGAGGGGGTTGCGGCAGTTCGTGGAAGTAGGAGGGTGCCATGTGGGTGAGCGAGGTGGTGGGGAGGACCAGGGTTCAGGGAGATGTCCCCCGCGTTAGGAGAAGAAGAAGGGTGAGAAAGGTGTCATGGGAGCGGGATGTACAAGAGCGTGTGAATCTACCAGTGGTGGCATTCAGGTCAGTGGGAGAGTGGAGTATCAGGAGGAGGTGGTGAGAAAGCCGTAGTGGGGAGATGGAAGCAGTGAGGGTGCGATGTATAGTTGTTTGGGAGGAGCAGAGGGATAAAGGAAGAGATTTTGGGAACAGAGGAGAGGAGTATGGGGAGGAGTACAGGTGGCATTTTAGGAAGGCAAACGGAGTGGCGGACAAGTGAGGTGGAAAGTTTCTCAGGGCGCTTGGTAGCAGATAGTCTAGCGTGCAGTGGTGTATCTCGTTGTTGTAACTTCCTGTAGCTAGAGTTCTCGTGCTTAGGATCAGGATGGGTAGAGTTCAGTTCGATAAGTTGTGGCCAAGGGTAGTCAAGCTGCAAGTTCCAGTTTGTGTCAGACCCAGATTGAGGGGTGAGGTTTGGCTTGAGGAGATGAGGGGTGGATGTCAGCAGTGGAAGTGTTTCCCAGGTGGTGGAGATGAGGTTTAGAGAAGTTTATGAGGGGTGGGCGTCAGCTGTGGGAGTTGGGTGTAGTAGGGGCAGGGGGATCACAGAACCAGCAGTCAGGCCTTCTCCTGCACTGTACTCACAGGGGTCGTCAGATGCGCTTCAGGTCAGGGCAGGGTTGTGTCGTGGTAGGCGATGGTAGGCCTCACCAGGTCGAGATCATCCGTTGGGCTCAGCAGGTCCGGGATCATATCCCCCCTTATGTATTATGCATGGAGATTATACCCCCCCCCCATGTATTATACATGGAGATCATATCCCCCCCTTATGTATTATACATGGAGATCATATCCCCCCTTATGTATTATACATGGAGATCATATCCCCCCTTATGTATTATACATGGAGATCGTATCCCCCTTATGTATTATACATGGAGATCATATCCCCCCCTTATGTATTATACATGGAGATTATATCACCCCTTATGTATTATACATGTATTATATTATACATGGAGATTATATCCCCCCTTATGTATTATACATGGAGATCATATCCCCCCTTATGTATTATACATGGAGATCATATCCCCCCTTATGTATTATGCATGGAGATCATATCCCCCTTATGTATTATACATGGAGATCACATCCCCCCTTATGTATTATACATGGAGATCACATCCCCCCTTATGTATTATACATGGAGATCATATCCCCCCCTTATGTATTATACATGGAGATCATATCCCCCCTTATGTATTATACATGGAGATCATATCCCCCTTATGTATTATACATGGAGATCATATCCCCCCTTATGTATTATACATGGAGATCATACCCCCCCCTTATGTATTATACATGGAGATCATATCCCCCCTTATGTATTATGCATGGAGATCATATCCCCCTTATGTATTATGCATGGAGATCATATCCCCCCTTATGTATTATACATGGAGATCATATCCCCCCCTTATGTATTATATGTGGAGATCATATCCCCCCTTATGTATTATACATGGAGATCATATCCCCCTTATGTATTATACATGGAGATCATATCCCCCTTATGTATTATACATGGAGATCATATACCCCCTTATGTATTATACATGGAGATCATATCCCCCCTTATGTATTATACATGGAGATCATATCCCCCCTTATGTATTATACATGGAGATCATATCCCCCCCTTATGTGTTATACATGGTGATCATATCCCCCCCTTATGTATTATACATGGTGATCACATCCCCCCTTATGTATTATACATGGAGATCATATACCCCTTATGTATTATACATGGAGATCATACCCCCCTTATGTATTATACATGGAGATCATATCCCCCCCCCTTATGTATTATACATGGAGATCATATCCCCCCTTATGTATTATATATGGAGATCATATCCCCCCCTTATGTATTATACATGGAGATCATACCCCCCCTTATGTATTATACATGGAGATCATATCCCCCCTTAATCTCCTCTTAAGGGGATACATACACACATATATATTATATATACACACACACTATACAGAGATGAGAGGATACAATGTACAGTATATGTACCTTATAGCACAGGGGGACCCAGAGAGAAGAGTGTGTACAGTGTAGAATGTATATAATTATATCCCCATCATCACTCCCATTATTGTTGTAGCCCAGAGAGGTGAAGGTTGGCAGAGTGTATATGCTGTGTACTATATACAGTATATTGCCAAAAGTATTGGGCCCGCATGCAGACGGCTTCTACAAACATTGGTGAAAGAATGGGTCGCTCTCAGGAGCTCAGTGACTCCAAGTGTGGTCCCGTGATAGGTGGCCACCTGGGCAATAAGTCCATCCGTGACATTTCCTGGCTACTAAATATTCCACGCTCAACTGTTAGTGGGATTATAACAAAGTGGAAGCAACTGGGGACAACAGCCACTCAGCCACCAAGTGGTAGGCCACGTCACATGACAGGGCGGGGTCAGCGCATGCTGAAGCGCACAGTGCGCAGAAGATGCCAACTGTTTGCAGAGTCAATAGCTAAAGACCTCCAAACTTGGTGTGGCCTTCAGATGAGCCCAACAACAGTGTGTAGAGAGCTTCATGGAATGGGTTTCCATGGCCCAGCAGCTGCATCCAAGCCTTCCATCACCAAGTGCAATGCAAAGCGTCGGATGCCGTGGTATAAAGCATGCCGCCACTGGACTCTAGAGCAGTGGAGGCGTGTTCTCTGGAGTGACCAATCACGCTTCTCTGTCTGGCAATCCAATGGTTGGGTCTGGGTTTGGCTGTTGCCAGGAGAACGGTACTTGCCTGACTGCATTGTACCAAGTGTAAAGTTTGGTGGAGGGGGGATTATGGTGTGGGGTTGTTTTTCAGGGGTTGGGCTTGGCCCCCTAGTTCCAGTCAAGGGAACTCTTAAGGCGACATTTTGGACAATTTTATGCTCCCAACTTTGTGGGAAGAGTTTGGGGATGGCCCCTTCCTGTTCCAACATGACTGCCCACCAGTGCACAAAGCAAGGTCCATAAAGACATGGAGGAGCCAGTTTGGGGTGGAGGAACTTGACTGTCCTGCACAGAGTCCTGACCTCAACCCCATAGAACACCTTTGGGATGAATTAGAGCGGAGACTGCGAGCCAGGCCTCCTCCCCTGACATCAGTGCCTGACCTGACAAATGTGCTTCTGGAAGAATGGTCCAACCTTCCCATAGACACCCTCCTAAACCTTGTGGACGGCCTTCCCAGAAGAGTTGAAGCTGTTATAGCTGCAAAGGGCGGGGCCAACTCAATATTGAACCCTACGGACTAAGACTGGGTGGCCATTAAAGGTAATGTGTGTGGAAAGGGCGGGGCCAACTCAATATTGAACCCTACGGACTAAGACTGGGGGGCCATTAAAGGTCATGTGTGTGGAAAGGCAGGCGGCCCAATACTTGGGGCAATATAGTGTACATAGTACAGGGGTACCCAGAGAGGAGAGGAGAACAGCACATAGCATAGGGCAGTGATGGCGAACCTTTTTGAGCCCGAGTGCCCAAAACTGCAACACAAACCAACTTTTTTATTTCTAAGTGCCAACACTGCAATTAACCACTTGCCTACCTGGACGCACTGACAGACGGCACTGATCAGTGGCACTGCTGGGCATCATTGATGGGTGGCACTGATGGGCAGCACTGATGGGCGACACTGCTGGGCACTGACAGGTGGCACTGCTGGGCACTGATGGGTGACACTGCTGGGCACTGATGGATGACACTGCTGGACACTGCTGGGCATCATTGATGGGTGGCACTGATGGGCAGCACTGCTGGGCACTGACAGGTGGCACTGCTGGGCAGCACTGACAGGTGGCACTGCTGGGCAGCACTGACAGGCGACACTGCTGGGCACTGATGGGTGACACTGCTGGGCAATCATTGATGGGTGGCACTGATGGGCAGCACTGCTGGGCACTGACAGGTGGCACTGCTGGGCAGCACTGACAGGTGGCACTGCTGGGCAGCACTGACAGGCGACACTGCTGGGCACTGATGGATGGCACTGCTGGGCATCATTGATGGGTGGCACTGATGGGCAGCACTGATGGGCGACACTGCTGGGCACTGACAGGCGATACTGCTGGGCACTGATGGATGACACTGCAAGCAGTTAATCTCACCTCTGGCAGCGTCGGTGTGGCTTCCAACCCAGCAGCTCATTCCCATTCATGCTGAACACGTTGCCCCTGGCCCCGGAGCAGTGTGGGAGCAGTGGTGGGAGCCTCTTCCTCTCTTCCGCGCCCATCAACCCGGGTACATCACCCCTGGTGCCAGTGCCGCATTGGAGCCGTTTCCTCTCGTCCACGCCCACCCTGGCCCCAGAGACATGTGGGAAATGTAGTTTGATGGGGGTCCAGTGTGGACGAGATCTGGATGGCCGGGCCATGCGCGCTCATCATCCTCTTCTTCCTGGCGTGCCCACTGAGATGGCTCTGCGTGCCATAGGTTCGCCATCACTGGCATAGGGTATACCGCTGCTATGCTCCAAAATCTCCTGGTAGACGGCTGCGGTGACCCTGGACTTAATGAAGCAAAGTGGGCCAACACCAGCAGATGACATGGCTCCCCAAATCAACACAGACTGTGGAAACTTCTCACTGGACTTCAAGCATCTTGCAGTGTGTGCCTCTCCATTCTTCCTCCATACTCGGGGTCCTTGTGCTCCATTCTTCCTCCATACTCGGGGTCCTTGTGCCTCTCCATTCTTTATCCATACTCGGGGTCCTTGGGCCTCTCCATTCTTCCTCCATACTCGGGGTCCTTGGGCCTCTCCATTCTTCCTCCATACTCGGGTCCTTGGGCCTCTCCATTCTTCCTCCATAATCAGGGTCCTTGGGCCTCTCCATTCTTCCTCCATACTCGGGGTCCTTGGGCCTCTCCATTCTTCCTCCATACTCGGGGTCCTTGGGCCTCTCCATTCTTCCTCCATACTCGGGGTCCTTGGGCCTCTCCATTCTTCCTCCATACTCGGGGTCCTTGGGCCTCTCCATTCTTCCTCCATACTCGGGGTCCTTGGGCCTCTCCATTCTTCCTCCATACTCGGGGTCCTTGGGCCTCTCCATTCTTCCTCCATACTCGAGGTCCTTGGGCCTCTCCATTCTTCCTCCATACTCGGGGTCCTTGGGCCTCTCCATTCTTCCTCCATACTCGGGGTCCTTGGGCCTCTCCATTCTTCCTCCATACTCGGGGTCCTTGGGCCTCTCCATTCTTCCTCCATACTCGGGGGTCCTTGGTTTCCAAAAGAGATGCAAAAGTTGCTCTCATCAGAAAAGAGGACTTTGGACCACTGAGGACAGACCAGGTCTGTTTTTCTTTAGCCCAGGTAAGACGCTTCTGACGTTGTTTGTTGTTCAGGAGCGGCTTGACAAGAGGAATACGACATTTGAAGCCCATGTCCAGGATCCGTCTGTGTGTGGTGGCTCTTGATACACTGACTCCAGCCTCAGTCCACTCCTTGTGAAAGTCCCCAACACTTTTGAATGGCCTTTTCCTGACAATCCTCTCCAGGCTGCGGTCATCCCTGCTGCTTGTGCACCTTTTTCTTCCACACTTTTCCCTTCCACATAACTTTCTATTAATGTGCTTTGATACAGCACTTTGGGAACATCCAACTTCTTCTGCAATTCCCTTTTGAGGCTTTCCCTCCTTATGGAGGGTGTCAGTGATGGTGTCAGGTCAGCAGTCTTTCCCATGATTGTGATTCCTACTGAACCAGACTGAGAGACCATTTAAAGGATCAGGAACCCTTTGCAGGTGTTATGGCTGAATGAGCTGATTAGAGTGGGACACTTTGAGCCGAGATTATTCCACCTTTTCACAATATTCTCATTTTCTGAGATTGTGGATTTGGGGTTTTCATGAGCTGTAAGCCATAATCATCACAATGATGACAAATCACGGCTGGAACTATCTTGCTTTGCATGTAATGAGTCTCATATATTAGTTTCACCTTTTAAGTTGCTGCACTGAAATAAATCAACTTTTGCACCATATTCTCATTTTTTTCGAGTTTCACCTGTACATCCCTATACATAAAGGGGTTAGACAAAAATATGGAAACACTCCATGATTTGCAGGTGTGAAAGTGAAAAGTTTGGCTGGGAAAGAGGAAGTGATGTAACATTCTTTTGCTTCCGCTGTGTGATGAGACACCTAGCTAACAGGTGGGAAGCCTCACTTTCCTCATTCGCTGCTAGTAATACGGAGTCATGTCAGAGCTTACTGAGCTTCAAAGAGGGCAAATTGTTGGTGACGCTCAGCTGGCGCCTCTGTGACTGAAGTTACGTGTGTTGGACACCACCACGCCATGAATGATCCTATAGCTGAGAGGAGGGGCGACAGAGGGGAGGAAGAAAGGACAGAGGAGGATGCTGGGTGTCTGGGGCCAGCGTAGGAGCTGCTGCTCCTTCCAGTGTTCCTCTTAGATTCAGTCCCTTACTGCAAGCCAGCTGACGGCTGCTGAACACTGTGGAGTTCCAGCCCTTCTCTTCCCATTCATCAGCGAAGGCGGAGCTGCTGTAATGTCTGACTCTGATGTCTCGTGTCTGCATGAGTGTGACCCGGCCGGCCATCCATCACATGTGCAATGTGTCAGTGAGTGATGACATCATCACGATCCCACAGCCTGCTCTTCTAGTGCCGGCTGATCTGTGTCAGTGTCCGTGGTGGTGTGTTGTGTTGGATCTGTCACTGTGTGGGATCGCTCAGTTCAGCTGCCTGCTGTCACACTGTTTTTACCTCCCCCCATTGCCCAGGGAATTCCAGCCTGGGATCCATCAGAGTGTGGATCCATCATCCTCCACTCACCGCAACTGTCACCCAGCCACTGCCAGCCACATATCAACTGTCACTCGACCACTGCCAGCCACAGATCAACTGTCACCCGGCCACTGCCAGCCACAGATCAACTGTCACCCGGACACTGCCAGCCACAGATCAACTGTCACCCGGCCACTGCCAGCCACAGATCAACTGTTACCCGGCCACTGCCAGCCACAGATCAACTGTCACCGGGCCACTGCCAGCCACAGATCAACTGTCACCCGGCCACTGTCAGCCACAGATCAACTGTCACCCGGCCACTGCCAGCCACAGATCAACTGTCACCCGGCCACTGCCAGCCACAGATCAATTGTCACCCAGCCACTGCCAGCCACAGATCAATTGCCACCCAGCCACTGCCAGCCACAGATCAACTGTCACCCAGCCACTTCCAGTCACAGATCAACTGCCACCCGACCACTGCCAGCCACAGATCAATTGTCACCCGGCCACTGCCAGCCACAGATCAACTGTCACTCGGCCACTGCCAGCCACAGATCAACTGTCACCCGGCCACTGCCAGCCACAGATCAACTGTCACCCGGCCACTGCCAGCCACTGATCAACTGTCACCCTTGCACCGCCAGCCACAGATCAATTGTCACCCGGCCACAGCCAGCCACAGATCAATTCTCACCCGGCCACCGCCAGCCACAGATCAACTGTCACCCGGCCACTGCCAGCCACAGATCAACTGTCACCCGGCCACTGCCAGCCACCGATCAACTGTCACCCTGCCACGGCCAGCCACAGATACAGTCCATCCATGACACCGAATTTGTCTCGCCCTCCAGAAGATTCCCTCCTTTCCTGACCAGGCCATTTTTTTTTACGATACGGCACTGCGTTACTTTAACTGACAATTGCACGGTCATGCAACGCTGCACCCAAATGAAATTTATGTCCTTTTTTCCCCACCAATAGAGCTTTCTTTGGGTGGTATTTGATCGCCTGTGCGTTTTTATTTTTTGCGCTACAATCAAAAAAACCTGACAATTTTGAAAAAGAAAAAGCTATATTTTTGACTTTTTGCTATTAAAAACGTCCAGTAAAAAAATATTAAAGATCAAATTTCGTCATAAATTTCAGCCAAAATGTATTCTGCTCCGTGTCTTCGCTAAAACAAAAATCCCGATATGTGGAAATTAATTGGTTTACGTGAAAGTTATAGCGTCTACAAATGGCGGGATAGATACTGGAATTTATTTATTTTTTATATTGGTAATGGTGGCGATCAGTGACTTATAGCGGGACTGCGGTGCACATTTTGACACTGGGGGGGGGGGGGGGGGGGGGGGACTGACTTGGTGTCAATGACATCCCCAGTGACACCCAATACAGTGATCAGTGCTAATAAAAAGTACTGACACTGTACTAATGACACTGGGCAGGAAGCGGTTAACTTCTGCGGCGCTCAAAGGGTTAACTGTGTGCCGTGTGTGTGTGTGTGTGTGATTTACTGTGTAAGCACGCTGCCATGCAGAGCCATACAAAGCAGCACACTGGAGCTGACATGGGAGAGATCTGTGTATTTTACATACAGACCTCTCCCCTGTCAGTGTTCCTCGGCGATCACCGGGTGCCGGACGATAATCTCCGGCCGGGACCCGGTGGTGATCGACAGCAGTAGCTGCCAATGGCGGCGTGGGTAGGGCGGCACGCCCCCTCCCTGGAAATGCAAAATCACGTCTATATACACAACCCCCCCCCCCCCCTTGTTCTGCTCCCCACACTCCCCCCTTTTCCTGCTCCCCACACTGCCCCATTGTCCTGCTCCCTGCACTCCCCCCCCCCTTGACCTGCTCCCTGCACTCCCCCCCTTGTCCTGCTCCCTGCACTCCCCCCCCCCCCCTTGTCCTGCTCCCTGCACTCCCCCCCCCCTTGTCCTGCTCCCCGTACTCCCCCTCCCCCTTGTTCTGCTCCCTGCACTCCCCCCGTCCTTCTCCCTGCACTCCCCCCCCCCCCCCGTCCTGCTCCCTGCACTCTCCCCCCCCCCCCTTGTCCTGCTCCCCGTACTCCCCCTCCCTCTTGTTCTGCTCCCTGCACTCCCCCCCCCATTGTCCTGCTCCCTGCACTCCCCCTTGTCCTGCTCCCTGCACTCCCCCCCCCCCTTGTCCTGCTCCCCGTACTCCCCCCCCTCCCCTCTTGTTCTGCTCCCTGCACCCCCCCCCCCCCTTATCCTACTCCCTGCACTCCCCCCCCCCCCCATTGTCCTGCTCCCTGCACTCCCCCCCCCCCCCCCCCCCTTGTCCTGCTCCCTGCACTTCCAGATACATTTAGGCTGCTTTCACACTGAGAAGTTTTTGATGCATTTTTGCTTTTAAAAAAGAACCTGGAAAGCTCCAGAAAACTTCTTCCCCATGTATGTGAATGTATATCTGTGTATGTGAATGTACATCTCTGTATGTGAATGTATATCTGTGTATGTGAATGTATATCTGTGTATGTGAATGTACATCTCTGTATGTGAATGTATATCTGTGTATGTGAATGTATATCTATGTATGTGAATGTATATCTGTGTATGTGAATGTATATCTGTGTATGTGAATGTACATCTCTGTATGTGAATGTATATCTGTGTATGTGAATGTACATCTATGGATTTGAATGTATATCTGTGTATGTGAATGTACATCTATACATGTGAATGTATATCCATGTATGTGAATGTACATCTCTGCATGTGAATGTATATCTATGTATGTGAATGTATATCTGTGTATGTGAATGTATATCTGTGTATGTGAATGTATATCTATGCATGTGAATGTACATCTATGGATGTGAATGTATATCTGTGTATGTGAATGTACATCTATACATGTGAATGTATATCCATGTATGTGAATGTACATCTCTGTATGTGAATGTATATCTATGTATGTGAATGTATATCTGTATATGTGAATGTACATCTGTGTATGTGAATGTACGTCTATGGATGTGAATGTATATCCATGTATGTGAATGTATATCCATGTATGTGAACGTAGATCCATGTATGTGAATGTATATCCATGTATGTGAATGTATATCCATGTATGTGAACGTAGATCCATGTATGTGAACGTATATCCATGTATGTGAATGTATATCTATGTATGTGAATGTAGATCCATGTATGTGAATGTATATCCATGTATGTGAATGTAGATCCATGTATGTGAATGTATATCCGTGTATGTGAATGTATATCTATGTATGTGAATGTATATCTGTGTATGTGAATGTATATCTATGGATGTGAATGTATATCTATGCATGTGAATGTATATCTGTGTATGTGAATGTATATCTCTGTATGTGAATG